CCTTGCCTCTATATACAATAAGTGAGCTTCAAGAAGAAGGGTACAAGGAAGTGACTTTCAATCAAGAAAGAAATCGGGTTGGTCTTCGGTTACACTAGCATAGGTGTTTTTACTGTGTTCTGGTCTGACTCGCTCTACTGTACATTCTGAACTTCGGTAAATAAGATGACAACTTACGTCATGATTTGCCGTAACCGCAATACTTCTACAGGTAGCAAAGGCAAAACATTATTTGCCCTACTCATACAAGCCAGTTTTCAACAAACATTGGGACAATACCGTTAACAGTTTACAGTGAGAAATAAGTGTCACTTGAAGTCAACAACCTTAGCCAAAACAAGGAACTTGTATGTAGTTAATTGCTAAAAATCCTTTAATCACTCTTTGCCCTGCTCAGTGTGGGCTCTTCACTTTACAGAGGATTTTGCTTCAATATATATGTACTAGTGACTAAGTCAATCATCTAGCCTCGATGGCAGAGAACTGCTCATATACAACAAAGAGATGCTCGCCTAGAGTTCACCGTCTTTTGCTTGTAAAATTTCTTGGGAATGGTGTAATACTCTTGGTCACATAAAGACAGTCACGATGGTAACAACGCATCACCATAGTACAGTTGGCTGAGTACGAGTGAGGCACTGAGAGCCCATTAATCTTTTCGCCAAAGGACCCACATGTTGAAAACGGAAATTCAAAGGCATCAGAAGCACGCCGGTACGCGCAGTACCGACATTTCGGTACCGCATAATCACCACCATCCGTGCATAGGCTGAGAATACTGCGAGGGTCGTCCGGTGCCCTTCGCTGGCTCGAACCCGCGACTTCCGGATTACAAGGCAGGTTTGTGATCCCTAAGGCCACGGGTAGGCTAAACGGAAAGGTGTATTTAGGGAAAAATCTTTCTCTTTGGTAAAGGTAGATGGAGGACCAAGAGGCTAGGAATTGGTATCAATCGAATAGATCGTGTTAACATAGCTGTGCGAATCGCATTTGTAAAGTACAAAAGTTATATGGGAACAGAAGGGAAGGATTATCGCAATCAAATCTGTCGCCATCCACACACCGAGACCAGTGGCAAGGTAAGAGCGCAGTATTCAACGGAAGAAGTCCTGTAAGTAATTACAAGTAAGCCGTTATCATTCGTCTTGAAACTGGTTGGATATAGATGTCCCACCTAGTTGTAGTTATCCAGACCAGCTGCTTTGCTCATCTGCAATCCGATTACTTTTCTGCGTGCTTCTAAGCTGTTCATAGAGGGAGGTTTATCTGAGACTGGCTGTAACAGTAGAGCATATAGCGAAGAATAAAGTACTATTGCTGATCACAAAAATTGAGGTTTAGTTTTCCAAATCTGGAGTAGAGTGCGTGACCTCGCAGGTAACTCCGTCTAATTGTTTGAGCATATTCCATATTTCATGGTAGTGTATCCAAGTATGGCCTGAATGTAGAGATGGCTGAAGCAATGCAATTCGATTTTTTTATATTCATCGGTACAGACTTCACACTTTAAGTCTTTTCTTTAAGCCCATGCATTCATTTGAGACGTTGAGAGGAAAATCTACCAGCACGGATAAAAATTGTTTCGAATGGACAACAAATGTTAGGGCAGAAGTTTACGTAACTAGTTAACTGATCACAAAACTTCGATAAGCCCGCATCGCAAAATAAACTAAAATCTGTGGTGGCAATGGTTTCACGCAGTCGCTGAATGTTCTCTGTGGAGCGCGTTTTCTCCGCCTGAACTTTCAATCTTTACAACAGGCGAAATCTATATGGTTCATGTTTCAATAGATAACGATAGGTAACTTGAACATGGGATGATCAGTGCTCCAAAGCGGCATCCGATTACAAAAACAAAACACTTCCAGGTTGTTAAACAATACCACGTCAAGTGTTACATCTAACTTGTTTGGAGATTGCATTATGTTCTTTAGCTCAAGGCTCGCAATTAAGCTGGTGTCAGAGTTGTAATGTCGCCGGCAACTAGGCACAAGGAGAATTCCAGGTATTCGAGGACTACAGCCATAAACCCATCGTAAAATTCCCAAACTACGTAGTTAGGATTAACCAATAAAATCGAACTAGAAAAGTTCAGCAGTCCTGGTTTGCATTTACCAATAAAACAGCTGATACGTTGCGAGCCGTGTTGAACACTGTTTTTAATCGACGTACACCATAAAGCATTAGTGTAAATGATAACGCTACCACTGCGGTTCCACTGTGTACATTGGCGGTCAACACGAATAGAGCGAAATCCGTCGAGTTCCACAAGTGCTAAAGCTTGAAGCCAGGTTTGCTGCAGCATAATGGTGTCCAAGTGAGAATATTCACAGTTCATAACACTTGAGGTCTTCTAATTTTCTAAGTAGGCTCATACTCCCGATCTTTTTCTTCCGAAGTGCAACCCGCCATCCTGCGTGGTGTTTTTATGTAGAATTCCTTGGTCTCTTTTCGATTCTTTATATTTTGTTTCGTATGGCTTGACTCGGAAAAAATGCCAAATTCGTTAGCTTGAAAACACGCAAAAATTTCAAAGTACCGCGAGTGTAAACTATCATATATATATATATATATATATATATATATATATATATATATATATATATATATATATATATATATATATGGGGATCAGGCTGACTTCGGCACCCGTGAGTGTATTGATCATATTTTTACTTTCCGATGTGCTCGGAAGGTACCAGAGTTGCAAGCAGCACATTAGGATAGTTCGATTTGACTTGAAATCTGGCTTTGGTTCGTTTGATAATGCAATCGTATGATGAGGTCTCGGTCTAAAAGGTGTGTCTGAGAAGTTGTTTCCTACTCTGCAGTCTCCATACAAAATCTACAGTGTTCATACAACGGTCCTTATGAAAGGCTCTCTTTAGTCCCCAATAACCCTTGGATTACGTCAGGGTTGCCCTCTCCATACGGTTTCAACTTTGAGATCGGTGAACATGAATGATTCCATCCAACCACCTTCCACTTCTGAGGTAGAGATTCTGTTGGATGAGCAGCAATCAAATTAAGAGTAGGCGAGCCACATAGCTCTATGGATTGAATTCCACTGCTTTGTAAGCACCTGTGAATAGGGGGATGCGTAAGGCTGCCCGATTCGGTGTGTGCATTGCACTTGCAAAAGAAAGATAAGATTCGCTCGGAAGTCCGATCCATTTATTTACCCAGACGGTTGCACCACCTCACACGGTTGCACCAACGATGAGATTGAGACACTTTCCTAAGGTTTGGATGGCTTTCTAAAGTCACAGTCACATATGGAGACGGTAGGATATAAGCCTCGGTACACGTGTGTGTGTGTGTGTGTGTGTGTGTGTGTGTGTGTGTGTGTGTGTGTGTGTGTGTGTGTGTGTGTGTACTAATACAATACCGCGCCCAGTTTGGTGAAACTCGGAGGTAGCCAGTCACGGATGAAGATGGAGAAACACCGAAAGGCCGAGTCCGGTTGGTGATTGTCGTCTTCCCGGATGGGAACATCGGGGTCAGGCATATAAATGACCAGATATATATCGAATATAATTTATCAGATATAGCCCGTGACTCTTGAATTCGTTCGTTTAGTGCTGACCCAAAAGCAGTCTTTTTGGCAAAAAGTTATTTATAACTGAGGGTTCGTCGCAGCCAGTTCCAGATCAGGTAGTCGTCCACATGCCCGGAAAAGCACTGCAAATCATGACGGTCCGAAGCCGTCCCCCGTGGCCCAGTGGCATAAGCTGCTGACTGGCGGTGCAAGCCGCTGTTGGTCACGGGTTCGAATCCGGATGGATGCGCACTACTGATGATGCCCAACAGGCTGAAACGGCAGTCTAGTGCTTTTCCGGGCATGTGGACGACCATCTGATTTGGAACTGGCTGCGACGAACCCTCAATTATTTATATCAAAATCCCCTATTCCTGACTACATCAACAAGTTATTTGTCGATCACTTCTAGTACACCATGATCATTCATTTTGTTCTGTCGACAAGGTTCGCTTCTGCACCTAGATTCATCGCAACTCGCTGCGTTTGTCAATTAAAAAACTGAGCTCAACGGTTACTAGTCGTTTCCGAATTCGCAGAGGATAGACAACGGAGCTACAATGGTGGTCAATGCCTACTCGTCCTGTAGAAAACACATCTAATGCAATGGGTAGTCGTGTCTCACAGTGGCATAGAGGCGCTCTCCGTTTATACTGATAAATGCCTCTTATATGGATATTATGACGTTAAGAGCCTAAGTAATTAAAATTTAAGTGCTTGTAAGAGGCGGTGACATGTGGATTCAGATCGCCATTGTCAGTGATGGTCTCGGTATCATGAGTCCCTTCATTTGAAGAAATAATGAGCACCGTTTAAACATCGCGGTCCTAGGCCGACCAGTGAGAAACACCAGGCAACCCCTCGTGCTTTATAACTAGCAGTCAGGCAAAATGAAAAGTTCGGTGTTCGAGTAGCAGTTTACCCCAAAGCACAAAGTTACCCAACAAATAAACTAAGTGTAGTGCGTGGGTAAACAAACAATGTAATGATTGATCTTAGACATTCGAAGCGGTCGCAGACTGGAGGAATCGATGTAAGAGCATCCGATTGTGAGTATTATTATACCGTGCAAGTGTCGATATGACTGTTCTGGCGTGCACAAGTGATTCTTGTGTCTGGCTTGTAATCCACAGCTCACCGATTTGAGACTGTATGAATGCCCGCGAAATCGCAGTATACAAACCCGTACGTGAATGCTAATGGTCGCGTGACAGCAAAGCGTCGGAACGAAGTACCGGGTCCTCCAAACAAGTTCTGCATACTTCTTTGTTATGTCACTGTTCGGTACTCCTAAGGCATCTGCCAACTAACGCGAGCTAGGATGATGGTTGATGTGTGCACAGAAGAAGTGGCATGTTAGCGAAGGAAGTTCAAGATCAATGGACGGCATATTGAAGTCACAAGGCGGTAACCATATGCTAACTAGAAATACAACAAAACCAGTGCAATGGTATCAGCTCACTTAGAAGTTTCACTTATATGCCGCTGTTTCATGCCATTGACCAACTTGTTCAATGCATCCGCGTACTCTTGTTCAACAAACGCCCGCCGGCGGAAAAATTCATTCAATTCAACAAGTACCGAGCAATCGATGTCCAGCTTCAAGTCCAGGCATTTTGCTTGTTCCAGAAACAAGGACCGCAAATCTGGAAGACGCAATGGAAATAAGAAGATGACAGTCATCAAGTTACAGAGTGGTGAAATGTGCTACAATCAAAGGGACACAACAAACCGAAGAAAAGGTGATAGGAAAGTAGACACGGCTGACTAACACTCAGGTTCTAATGATATGAGCGGTATCGGCTTACAATGAACACACAGAGGCACAAAGAGGGGTTCGGTGAACAGGTTACATATACATATACTGTGCAAAAGTAAGTCTGATTCAAAGCGAAGAACTAGAAAATGAAGCCGGTGTAAACTGCAACATGCACTGGTAAGGATAGGAATAAGGGTAAGCTTATGAGAGTGAAATCGCTGTTGGACATAATAAAGGGTGATGTCAAAAAAACGAGCCAAAAGACTGAGCCAAATACAATCAAAGCAAGAACACCAACAGTAACAGCGATATAGCAGTACCTTAAATCGGCCGCACACTGGCATACGATAAAAAAGGTTGAATATGGGCTACGTTCCCTTAAGATGAATACAAGAATGTAATGCACGAAGTCGATCGGATTAAACTGACCGATTTTCACTGAACCATCGTGCACATGTGAAAACTACAAGCTCCTCTTGAAAGGGTTGCCGTGCGAAAGGAATACACTGACAAGATCTAACGGAAACCGGCACCACCTATCCCCAAAACCTACGCAGAAAAAGGGTAAAAATCTCGAAATGGGAATCGAATACAGTAGCTAGGTAGACGTCGCTGTTGTAAGCAGAAAGATTAATGAAGATTAGATGAGCCCACGAAAACTATGTCTAGGTGGTAGGTGATATAAACTTGTATGCGTCGAGACACTATGGCTCCATTAAGATAACCACCTGATCGAATATTGTTGAAGATGTATTAGGGCAGGTTGTTTTTGAATGACAGAATCCCTGACGCGAGTAAAAAGAGTGGTAGAGAGAAACAAATCCGTTGTCGCGGTTTTAAGAAATCGCACTTCAAAACCACTATCGTTCTTAGTTGCTGTTGTGTCAGACCACTAGAGCAACCTAGCTCCTGGTGCAGGAAGAACAAAAGGCGAGTACACAGCAGCAATCGTGGGTCTAGTGGAGACGAAAACGTGGGCCGAAGTTTACAGACACGAACCGCACCAGTCATAACCCGATTGATCATGGGTGTTGGCCTCAGGTCAACACTAGTCTGATGATTGATACATTATTCATTTAGTTATTGATACATTACTTATATGTTTCGATTTGGCCTTTGGGTATTTAGTTGGTTTTCACCCTTTGGTCTGAGATTGTTGGGCCTTCGGGGCAGGTGAGTGATTGATCACGGATTGTGAGCTTCGTTGATCTACGCTCGAGAAACCGCACTCGCTTAGCACCTCCCTCTTAGTTGGTCCTGTGTACGATTTCCGTCTTAGATCAAGCTGGAACGGAATCTTCAGCCTCTGGACTGAGGTGTGATGTCTGTCTTAGGCACTAGGTTGGGAGCCCTTCCGAGCTCAGTAGGACTTTCTAGCTTGGACGCTAAGTGATCCATCACCACTCTTGAGTATGGCAAAGCGTTCGTCAGGTTTGAGTAGGGTGGCGCTTCCATAGCAATGGACCCACCTGGACATCGTACAGAACACGCCCAATCGGCCTATTAATGATGTAGACGAAGCGTTTTTGATGGCCACTGCGGTACTCTATGATTAACACACGACCGGATCGCAGCGTCCGTTTTTATGAACAACCGACTGCTGGCCCAAAACTGATCGGATAACACTATGTGTCAGACGGAATCCCTTGTCCATCTGAGCTTCGGTGGGAAAACAGCCGTTGGGATTTCGCGGATTCGCGGTGGTTCTGTAATAGTAATAGTTTCGCTGTCGTTCTCTCCTGGATCTCAGCAAGGCGCGCTTAAACGTGTCTAAATATCTCTCGAAGTGTCAATTGGATTGTTGTTGGAAAAGTGCTCTGATGTGAATGAGCAGGTGTTTTATTGTGAAGTCGGCAAACAAGTGCGAAGTGAAGTGGATGCCTTTGTCGGACAGGATTGTCTCCGGAAGCCCAAAAATGAAGAACATTTGGTGTTTTGGCAGTCGTTGAAGTTGTAATCGTCGAGTCAATGAAGAAGACTTCCGGTTACTTTCTGAAGGCATACACAACGATTAGGAAACTTTGTCTATTAATTGGATTGGTAAAATCAATGCGGAGACACACTCATGGTCCCTTTGGTTTTGACCAGGTCACTATTGGGTGTCGACTGAGCATTTCTTGAGTAAGGAAGCATCTGAAACAGTTTCGGCATGGATGTTCCTTCTCATCAAGGCCTTCATTCGGTCTAGCAGGAAATTCATGGCCCATCACTGCGCCCACTCCCCGGTTTGATGCATCCGTAGTTGGTACAATTGGGAGCCTTAGAGTAAAGTGCGTCAGCAGAAGTTTAGAGATCAAGTAACTTTTCATCTTCTCAAAAGTACCTTGACACTCGCGTGACCATTCTCGTCTAAATCCTTTGATAAGCGGCTGATTCAAGGGTTCACGCAAGTGATGCACACTTGACAGAAACAAGGTTTAGTAACTGAATAGTGCGAGAAATGACTTCAGTTCAGCAACATTAGAAGGTGAGGGCATTTTTATGCTTGGCTCAACATTCGCCGGCTTAGGTTGGCGACCCACTTTATGGGTGAAGAAGAAGGCATCAGCAGCACGCCGGTACGCAGTACCGACGCTTCGTTGCCGCGCAACCATCACCGATCGCACGTGGGCTAAAGGGTACTGCGACGGTCGCCCTGCCCCTGCACGGTCTCGAACTCGCGTCGCCATGTTACAAGCTACGGGCCGGCATGAAGGATGACACTAAGGTACTTCATTAAATTCAAGAATTCGGAGTTCCCACTTCAGTCGGAAACCATAATCAAGCATGCGCTGTAAGACAGTAAGCACACGAATAAAAAGCTCCGCTTTCGTTCGCCACGTGATTATATCATCGAGGAAGGCAGTGGATCCTTCCAAACTGTTAAGCTTTGTTTACGAATGAGAAGACGGATTTCGGCATGATTTAAGTTGGTTCATCGCAATTCAATTCCAAGCCGCATAGGTAAGCTACCAATCCGAAAAAGCACCACACGCGCTCGTCAGTGGTGCGCATCCATCGGTCCCCTACTGGAGATCGAACCCATGACCGCTAGAGCCTAACGCCAACTAGCCATCAGCTTATGCCACTGAGCCATGGGGGACGACAGCCGAGCATTACGAATAGAAACCTAACCTAGCTTTGTGTCCATAATTTGAGAGATAGTTGGGTGCGCCTTCACACCAGAATGTATTGAAACAGATCAAAGTGGGTATTGATAATGGGCAGAGTCTAGATTCCTCTGCAATTTCAACCTGTAGGTAAGCATCCAATAAGTCTAGTCTAGCGAAACACGTGTCACCATTCATTTTCACGAAAATGTCATCCGGTAATGATGGGCGTCCAGGGCACCATTCTGTTCATTGAAACAGTCGTCATAAATTTGGGCAGCTTATTTGGCTTCCTAACGAACATTGGCGCAGGCCAAGGAGAGCAGTTTACCGGCTTAAGGAATCCGGCGAAGCTGGATGTGGGGGACTGGTCTGCTTCGTCGGAAAATAAGTTTAATATTCTGGTTCAAATAAAGCACTGCTTTTGCTTTCGATCAGCATCCGTAAAAACCGTAGTGAATACAATCAAGAGGACCAAAGAGTCTACATTTGTCTCAGGCTGATTCGACACTCTCAAGCTCTGGGGAAGTGTTAATGGACACAACTTGTTGACCGGTAAATCGGAAAGTACCAAACAATCAATGCAGTCAATACAAAGTAGCTTGAACGCACAAGCAACTATGTAGACTGTGTTGCAATCGCGCCTAACTGAAAATTTCAGCTCACAGTTCGATTCGCCAAGCAACTGTATCATACCATCGGATACAATTGTAGTCGTTTTATTAGTTTGACGATAGATCGGCGGACCCAGCTTCCTCCGACACATTTGGATACGATCGTTATATCGGAAGCCGTATCGAGTTGCAAATGAACCAACCTGTTTATTCTTGCAGTTACGTAGTCGCTGCGCCACTTGAAACTAGGATCAGTTATTTCAAGCATGGCATCGAATCTTGGTCAGCTTCTACGTGTTTGACTGCTAGTTCGGCCTCTGGCTATGCGTCATGACACGTTCCGTTGTTTGGCATTGACTTTCTTCGTGGCCGTGTCGGTTGTATTACAAACATGTGTGCGTCTTATAGGGGCAAAACCTTACAAAACGACACTCTCCACACTACCGACACGCGAACGGTGATTTCGCGACGACGGAGGCTGCTGGTCCAGGGGTGGTCTGGAGCACACCTTTGTGCCATGGAAAGGGTAGTTGGATAATGAACGCTAAAGCATGGCTGTATCGCCAACAATCAAGGGTTATTTGTTGTATTGTGATAGGATGGGACAGTTCGATTTTGCTAAATAATCTGGCCGTAATTTCATTGTCGGATAAAAATCATGTACTTGAACCGGTCTTCTGTAATGGTAAAAAGCTGGAAGTTTCGCATTCAAGATTGACTCTACCAACTAGTTCCATTAATTGATTGGGTTAAACAACGAAAAAGGCTTATAGAAAATTTCTGACAGCTGCTGGACAGTTGTGTCAAAAGTGAGATCCAGGGAGTTCTTCAGCAGAATATCGCGTGTGCCCCGTTGCAGCAAGCCACAACAACAATAGCATGCGTCATTCATATGCTTCAGTTTGATGCTGAAAATGTTTTCATATTGTTTGAAATAAGACAAAAAAGAAAACTACTATCAGATTCATAATAAAACTCCGTGATGCTGTCTGGAATTGCCCTGGCTGCATTTCTTTCCGGGGTCCGAACTAACGCTGAAATATCGCGTCAAGTTTGCCATTAAGTGCATCTGGGCGCTTCGAACTGAGTATACTGTCGGTGCAGGATCGCATTTAGTTCATCTGCAGTTACTGACAGGTTGCGTGGATTTCCGTAGTCAAAGCAATTATATCGAACTGCTAGCG